AAAATCCAAATTGTTGTTGTTGGTGTAATCAAAAAGATTCCTATGTTGAATGTGGCTGATCTCAGGTCTTTGCTCAAAGCTAATTTGATGTTTCTGGAACTCACTGAAATCATCAAAAGAAAGCTAGGATAAAACAAGGAAAATAACTTATATTTGTTCAGCACCTTTCATGTAAAAGTACAGCGTCTGAAGAAGTATTCACAGAAGGAGAATCATTTGAAATTAAGTGAACGTTAAATTGAACGTTATTGGACCCGAGCGGGGGGGGGGGGGGGGTGGGTGCTGTGGGGATCAGGGAGGGTGGAGGGCAGGGAGGATAGGAGGGTGGCCGAAGGCATGGTCGATGAGGAGGGGCTTGAGACGTACCTTGAAGGAGGCAAGGGAAGGGGCGAGACGAAGGGAATGTGGGATGGAGTTCCTAAGGGTAGGCAGAGTGATTAACAATGCCAGAGTTTAACACTCAATACCAGGGGAATGTCGGGAAATAAAAAAACAGGGCAAGTTGGATGACAGGGAGCACAACTTGGAAAAAGTCTCCATCAAGATTCAATTTGGGACTGTGTATGTTAAACAACCAAAGCTTGTCCTGGAAGCTTTTGTTGGCTTTCGACCATGACACCATACCTGCTATTCACAGTCACAAACATCTGAAGCCAATAGTACGTAGATAAGGATACAGAGGTCATGGTTGGCAGTAGGATTTGATAAATAGATCAAGTGACGGCACACCAAATAATTCAAAGTGAAGTAATTTACCAGATTGTACTACTGGTTAGGGTCATATTTTATTTGAACCTGAAGTTTATAACCTCAGGCTTTATGAACATCACATTTTCATTCCCGCTGTATATTGCAAGATGTGATTTTAGAAATAGTAATCATATGAAGAAATATCACTCAACACACTGGTTTTGAAATAACTTTTTGAATATTAGAATCAACTCGTGACCCTATAGAGATTGTGGAATAGGTTAAGTCCAATGTTTACAATTTCTATTACCAGCAATATTACGTTTTATTATGTTTATTACCAATAATATTTTGAAAAGGACAGTATACAAAGGTGTCACTTTTTTACGTTAACTCCATCATTACGTGTTAAGCATCGAAAAAGCATGTGTATTCCTCTGACAATATATGATATCAAGCACCAGAAGCCACAGCTTAAGACTTCAAAGACTAAAGAAATTTATGGTTGAGAAACATTTTTTGTCTGCACATTACAAGTGTGGATAGACGGCAGTTTGAATGATGCAAATCTTGATCAGGTGGCACATTGTGGCTTTTATGCATTGGGTGTTTTCCATATACAAACATTTCTGTATCATGTGCCCAAGGGTACAGAGGAATTACAGCTGCCCTCAAATAGGTAATTAACCAAGGTTATTCATGTAATTAATAAATCATCTGCACTGGTTAATTGCATAGTTAAGGGAACTGAGAATTCCCTCTGTGCATGTTTACACATGGTGCAGAATACATATCTGTTGGCAGAATCAATATTACCTTTCAAAAGGGAACTAGATACATACGTAAAAAGAAGTGGTGAGGGAAAAAGGGCAGGTGAATGGGACTGAAGTTACTGCTCTTTAAAAGAGCCAGCACAGACATGATGGGTCGAATGACCTGACTGCTCATAGAATCATAGAATCATAGAATTGTACAGCACAAAAAGAGGCCATTCGGCCTATTGAGGTTGTGCCGGCTCTTTGAATAGAGCAATTAATGTCAAACCCTCTCCCCAGCCCTTTCCCCATAACCCTGCAAATCCGTCCTCCTCAAATACCCGTCCATCACGTTTCAGCGCTTTGGGACATCCTCCCGACGTGAAAGGCACTCTATAAACGTAATTTTGTTGTTGTTCTTCTTCTATGGTTCACTTAAGAACGCTCAGCAACTGGAACGGGCAACTTGACAAACCCACAGAGCTTTTGGCCTCAAATCAAGTGGTGGTTGTGGAGAATGCATTCCATTAATTTGTTGTTTATAATAATAATGAGCCTTGCATTTGATATAGCGCCTTATCATGTCTTCGAGATGTCTCAAAAGGCTTCACAGAATGTACTGTATTGAATTGATTGTATATTTTGTGGGCGAATTGCGCAGAGCAGTGTCCCACAAACAATCATGGATTGAAGTGACCAATTTATTATTATTTTTTTTGGAACAAATTATTAACCCCGGAAAAGTGATCCGCCAATCCATTAACAACTGGATTCCTATTTACTGCTCGGTAAGTAGAAGTGTGTAGAGTAAGGAAAGTTGTTCAATATTTCGCCTTGTCGGGAATCAAAACCAGGTCTCTCGCTTGCGAGGCGAGTGCTCCAACCACTGAACTACAGGACTCCAATATGGTATGTATTACCGTATTGAGTAATCCTAATACTATATATTAGCCTGGTTTGAAATATTTCTCTCAACAATGCTGTTTTAATAACTACACAGCTTCTGAATAATCACAGATGCAGCATTTTTTTAAACTAGGTATTCAACCACATTTATAAAATATACATGCTCCCATATACCCAAATTCCTTAGCCATTAATTGATTTTGTTTTCTTACCCGCAGACAAACCCAATCAAATTCATTGAAACACAGGCACAGATTTAAGAGGCAAATCTGTAGAGAAAGCGTACCCTTATAGTGCAGTTTTAGCACAAGCTTTGTAGCTATAAAACAGCACATATTGCTAATGTTACTAGGTTCCAGACTTAAAAGGTGCAAAATGATAATTATAGAATTCGTTATGAAAACATTCCCTTGATCTCTATTCCTTTGCAATAATATAGTTGGCCCGATATGATTGTAAAGGAATCCTTGAACTTTGTTGTTGCAAATGTCAAATAGACGTTATTCCAAATGAAGTCCTGTCACAGATTGGCTGGAGCACTTGGCTCGCAAGTGAAGGACCCAGGATCGTTTCCCAGGCTCGACAAGACCGTAGGCAAGTTTCCTAGCTCCACAGCAGTAATAGGAACCTGGTTGTTAGTTGATTGGTGGATCACTTTCCTGGGGTAATAATCCCTTAAAAAAAAAAGGAGTAATAATAATAATTTGGTCACTCACTCCACGATTGTTTGTGGGACACTGCTGTGCGCAATTGGCTGCTGCGTTTTGCATACAAAATACAAAATTCACTTTACAGTATATTCTGTGAAGCTCTTTCTGTCTCAACAACATAAGGCGCTTCATCAAATGCAAAGATTATTATTATTTGACCATAAGGTGATATCTCTGCATATCCACACAATGGAAGCAAAGCTCCAGCATTGGCTTGTGTAAAGCAATACTCAAAAGAGGACTACTAACTATCCAATGACCTAAATAAAAATCGGGAGACAATCTTAAACACATCAGTGCTTGGAGCTGACTAGCTTGGTGGGCTGAACCTATTTCCTGGACTGTTTGTGCTGTGTTTTAGCTCTAGGCATTTATGGGAATTACAGAGAATAAGTCGAACTTTTAAACAAAGAAATTATTACTCTCAATTCGCAATTGGAGTTGGTACCAGCGTGCCTTGTAATATTCTGCAATAAACAGGGAACACGAAGCAGAACGCATGAATCATGCCTGTGTTTACAGGACCTTGGAGTGCATGGGAAACTCTGACTATTTTTGGGCACGGTGCACAAGTGCTACTGCAATCCAAACAGAATAAATGAAAGACAGGATCTACGCAGACGTGGTCTGAATTATTAACATAATAATCCTTGGATTTCATGAGTACCTGATCACATCGCCGAGACGTCTCAAAGCAATTCAGAGGATGCACTGCAAAGTCTAGTGACTTGTGCATTTTTGTAAGTGAACGCGGCAGCAAATTTGTGCACAGCAATGTCCCAAAAAACAGCCATGAAGTGAGTGACCGATTTTATTTATTTGTTGGTCAGGACAATGGGAGAAACTCTCTTCTCTCTTCGAATGTGCCAAGTGATCTGTAAAGTTCATCTTAACACGTAGACAGGACCTCGGTTTAACATCTCACCTGATACTCCAAACAAACCTTGTTTTGTCATGTTCATGAAACATCCAGGGATAACAATCTGATGACTAATTGACCATTCTTCATGGGTTCACGAATTATATTGGATAAAACTTAAAACAGATGTATTTATTGAGGCTTTGTTTAACAGAATAAAAGACCAATAACATGTAGTTTCTTTACCTGGCTTCTGGTCACAGTAATGTCTTGAGAATTGTAACAACAATTTTATACTTGCAAATATTGTTCAGAGACCCAATATTTCGCATAGTCTTAACCTTAAGACCACTGTCTTTGAATATCACATTCTCTTTTTAATAAACACGGAAAACTGGGCTCTAAATTAAGACCAACTTTAAAGTTCTAACATCCAGAGCAATCTTGAATTAATGACCATGCTCTTCGGTCCAAGATTTCTTCTTCGGGTTTGATCACAGCTAAAAACTGTATTATTACAGACATCTGTTTTTTTGGTCAGCCAGGTGTCTGATATATGTGGAAACCTATCACTATGCTTATGAGTATCTAAACCAGACTGGATGCCATTTACACATGGAAATTTCCCCGTGACTGGAATTCCCACTCTCTCTCTCTCTGGAGTGATGCATCCTGCTTGTCCAATTCTCGAGAGTATTAAGCACAGGTAAGCAAGAGCCAAGGGTTAGTGACCTCTGAGTGCGTGTCAAGGATACTGTTGGAGTTTAACTAGCTAAAAGATTCATTGAGATCACTTTCTGGCAAGCTTCCTGCTTGCCCGGTTGTGATGACCCTACCCCATTAGGGCTTTGGTTTGCAGGGTTAACAAGCTGAGTCGTAAGAATCTCTGCCCCCAGTGACCGATTCAACCAGCCTGCCTCATACCATTCTGATCATACGAAACCTTTAAAAAAAGCATTCACAACCTTAACCTGGATACTATAATCAGATTAACCACCGCACCTTCAAGAGTAAATTATTTTTAAAATGAAAAATGATGCTAAACCAGTACATATGTTCTAAAGAGTCAGGACTACTTACCTGCAATGTAAGGCATTTGACAGCATCCCATGCACATCCAATGAGCTGTTTCATTCTCTCCTCTGGGCTGCTCCATTCTTCAGAGAAACTCTGCATTACTTTGATCGGTACGGTGAGCGGGCGAGATTCTTGAACACAAGAAAACAAACAACACTTATTAACCAGTGACAAAAGGAGTCGTAGTGGAAATCATTGGGGAGAAATTATACCTTTTAATTTCTCCGCTCCCTCCCTAACTTTGTTCAAGATCCATCTCAAGACCTACCTACCTGCATTTTCAGTGATCTTCCTCCTCTCCACCACCCACCCCCTTGGCACCCACCACCCATCCCCTTGGCACCCACCACCCACCTCCTGGGCACCCACCACCCACCCGCTTGGCACCCACTCCCAGCTTGGATGCCAAGTCAGTATTGATAAGCACCTTGGGATATCTTCCTGACGTGAAAGGAACCATACAAATATAAATTTATATTGTATTTATGTAGTATTTCAGAGATCAGAATTTGGCAAATTCTGAAAAACAACCTTCACTTTGATGCTTGTTTTCTTTGACTTCTTTTAAGGACTCTAGAAAAATCATTTCCAAGTTAAAGCTGAATTCAACATTCAATTGAGCATGTCCATCTACCACACAGTAGGTATACACGGATCAGCAACCTTTGTTCATAGAGGTGGGCAGCCAGCGATATTGGCTGGTGCAGAATCACCATAACAATCTTTGCCACTTCAATAAATCCTACCATGTTCACAACTGAATATCAAGGCTGACATGGTTTCAAGGCCATCTGTTAACCTGGAGTTAGGGGAAGTTGGAGACTTTTCCCTTTGGCTGTGGAAGCAAATTGGCAAAAGGATTTGGCAAAACCAAATCTTGCTGGCCTTGTGCACTACCTTCTCTTAATTTTTTTCCTCTTTCTATTCATTTCATCCATGGTTCTTAAAGTGGAGAAATTGATGGTTTCCCTACTATAAGAACCACAATGTAATACTTCTTCAGGTAATCTCCTTCAAAAACCAAATTGAAGCTTGTTGGCAACTGGTGGCCTTGACTTATTCATTGACACAAGGTCTGCAACAGATCTATGTCTCTGTTTCTGTTTTTTGCTGCAACACATTACAGACAAGTGATGATATTTGGGTCCACTACACATCAACCAGAGGTAAATGTGGATGTATTATCCACTGTGCATAAACACGTGTGCAGCGAGGAATTGAAGTTGCGTTAAAAATGTAATTGATGACAGTCTGGTAACCAGGAGTCTCTCAACTTGATAATCACAAGCCAATCACAAGAATAGTTTGGATAAAGAAGGTCCTTCGGCCCAGTACATCTGATCTCATCTTTACAGAATACCATCCTACAGTCCTCCCATTACATCAAGCTGCTTTCCAATTAAGTCCAGTGCCCTGCCCTCACCATCATCCAGGAACCCGTTTCCTCTCAAACTGGTAGTTATGAGCCTCTCAAACTAGTACAACAACAACTTGCATTTATCTAGCCCACTCCACGCCAGGCGGCATCTCGGAGCGCTTAACAATGGCGGAGCCCGAGGCTGAGCCAGGGGGAGGGGGAAGGTGACCCTAGGCGTGGTCGAAGAGGAAGGTCTTCAGGCGTGACCTGAAGATGGGGAAGGAGGGGGCGAGGCGAAGGGGTTGAGAAAGGGAGTTCCAAAGTTTCGGGGTTTAGTGGCCAAAGGCACGGCCGCTGATGGTGGAGCATAGGATTCGAGGGACACAGAGGAGGCCGGATCCAGTAGAGCAGAGGCAATGGATACTGCTGTGGGGAAAGAGGAGATTAGAGAGATAGGGGGGTGTCAAGGAATGAAGGGATTTAAACACTAGAGTGAGGATCTTGAAGTCGATCCTCTCTTTGACAGGAGCCAGTGGAGCTTGCAAGGACTAGAGTAATCGGGGTGTGGAATTTGGTGCGGGTGAGAATGTGGGTGGCGGAGTTTTGAATGAGCTGGATTTTGTGACTAGTGGAGGAGGGGAGACAGTGGGGAAGGTGTCAGAGGAGTCCAGCAGAGAGGTGACAAAGGCATGGACAAGGGTTTCGGCAGCTTTTGGGATGAGGTGTTGTCGGAGACGGACAATTTTTCATAGATTCATAGAATGTTATGGCACAGAAGGAGACCATTCAGCCCATCGAGTCTGTGCGGCTCTTTGACAGAGCAAGTCACTTTCACTAACCCCAATCACCAGCTTTCTCCCCATAACCCTGTAAACCCGTCTTCCCCAGATACCTATCCAGTTCTCTCTTAAAAGCTGTTATCGAATCGGACTTCACTGCCCTTTCAGGCAGATCATTCCAAATTCGAACAACTCGCTGAGTGAAAAAATTTCTTCTAACCTCCCCTCTGCTTCTTTTGGTAGATATCTTAAGACTGTGACCAGAGATCACAGACACACCTACCAGCGTAAACACCTTTTCCTTATCTAGCCTGTCGAAACCTTTCATAATCTTGAAGACCTCTATCAGGTCCCCGCGTAACCTTCTCTGCTCTAATGGGAAAAGTCCTAACTTTTCCAGCCTGTCCTCATAGCTAAGGTTCCCCATTCCTGGTATCATTCTCGTGAATCTCCTCTGCACCCTTTCCAGTGCCTTAATGTCCTTCCTGAAGTAAGGTGCCCAGAACTGGACACAGTACTCCAGCTGAGGCCTAACCAGTGTTTTGTATAGATTAACCATAACCTCCCTACTCTTATACTCTATGCCCCTACTAAAAAAGCTCAGTACACCAAATGCCTTTTTTACTGCCTTATCTACCTGCCCCGCTACCTTTAATGATTCGCTTACTTGAACACCCAGATGTCTCTGGACGTTCACCCCCCCTTGAGCTACCAAGTCTATATTGCCTCCTATCATTTTTCCTACCTAAGTGTATCACCTCACACTTATCCACATTGAAATCCATCTGCCACATGTCAGCCCATTTCACCATTCTGTGTATGTATGTGAATGTGGCGGAGGTGGAAGAAAGCGGTACAGGTCAGGGACCGGATGTGGGGGAGGAAGGATAACTGGTGATCGAACCTGATGCTAAGTTGTGCACGGGTTCGGAAAGTTTTTCTCACTAGTAAATCTTTTTTTCACTAGTAAATTAGTGAAAGAAAAGGAACTCTATGTAAGTTTCACGTTATCCAATGTGGAACCATTTCAAGAGAAACGAGCAACGAGGACTCTAAAAACATCAGTCTCTTTCCTAAATCAATACTATCTATTTTTTATTTCAAAAAGACAACTGTTTATTTCAAAAAAGACTACTACACGTTGTGTTGAGAGTGACATCAAATCCTACGGATTAAACCGAGGTCCCGTCTGCCTGTTCAAACTCAAAAAGAGAAGAAACTTTCTCTCAGTGTCCTGGCCAAAAATCCCCAAGTAAAACAATTGTCAATCGTTTCATGGCTGTTTGTGGAACGTTGCTGTATGCAATTGGACTGCCCCGTTTTCCTAGCACTTTGGGACGTCCTCCCGACGTGAAAGGCGCTCTATCGATGTAATTTTGTTACATGTTAATTTTGTTGCTGCTGTTGCCTAGCCTACAAATGCACTGTCACTCCACTTCACAGTAAATCCTGTGAGACCTCCTCCTGACATTCCTTATGCTCCCCAATTCTAGGAGTTTCCTCCATGCTATACTTGACGTGCAGCTGTTTTAGATGAGTTTTGTTCTGCTTAAAATATATATAGTATTTAATATGATATATATATGTACGCTATTCTTTGATCAGAATTGTAGTTCACCAAAAATAAACATCAATGGTTTAACAATCTTACCCCCTCCCATAAAAAATGTTTCATCAACAGGTTTTAATTTTCTCAAACACAATGCAGATGCACAAAAGTTATTCTGAGACAACCAAGTAAGGCTACTGATAACTTCATATAAAACAAAACACGCCTTCACTGACTGGCTCTCTGTGGGTTCATGGAGAGATCAAGAACTGGAGCTCTTTAGATGCCAGTATAGAACTTGCAAACTTTAATCCAAAACACAAAAGCAAAACAGATCAGGCCACAGGGAAACGTGTCGAGTGCATTTTGTACTGTCACAGCTGAAGCACGATTCAATCTTTTACATTAAATTAATCGTAGGCGAGTGTGAACATCTTGAAATCGATCAGTTCTGCAATGGAGAGGCAGTGATGTCAGGGAAAGAGGAGGGACAAGCGATTAAAAGATCTGAGAAATTCCAATAACTGGTGAAACAGGCTCGATGGGCTGAATGGCCTCCTCCTATTCCTGTTTCCTATGTTCCCAAGGAAGTAAAAAATGCTTTCTCCCATCTCTTTTTCTTTCCGCGAGCCCAGTGCAGTACATTTGCTGTGTTTTTTTAAAAAAAACAGGGAGCCAGTATAGTTCTTGTTTACATCTTTTGCCAAGAAAATTAAGACTCCAAATACAAAAATAAACCTCGGTTTTAGCACAACCAATGTGAAATACTTGTTTGGAGCAACTTCTTTTGCAGTGTTTTAAAGCTGGTGTGTCCAACGCTTGAATCGAGTCTGCAGCCTAACAAAACAAATGATGCAAGACTGACTGTTAGCAGTCCAGTCAAAGAGCTGTGTGCAATTTGCTCCTTGTGCACCAGTATCCAACAAGTCTTAACGGTAAGATGCCAAACGCTAGCAGCATGGAACTAAACTCCTGACCTTCGGGTTTAGATATTTGCATGACAACCCTTGGCAGCCAGTTAAGCCCATGACCAACGTAAAATTTGGACATTTCAGGGAAGGCACACATGATTGTCATTAGAAGATTTATTACAAATGTGAAATCAAAATGAACTGTAGCCTTTATAGAGCATTATTGTGGCCAAATCTAATCGTTTATCTTTAATAATCCCACCAAGGAACCATTAGTGTTCAAAAACAAAATCCAAAAAGATTAAAGCAACAATCAAAAAACTGCAATGATGTTGGATTCACTGAGAGATGCCAGATTTCTGTTTGGGAATAAAAAATCTGCCAACAAACTGAATAAGTTAGGAAGCAGTGGTCATATTAGCCTCTCTTTCTCTCTTATCCATCTGTGCACATGGCTATGTCTATCAATCTGACCTCAAGCACATTGCTCACACTAGTCTGACTCCGGCCTCCTGTTCGGCCCTCATCCCATCCG